CGAGAGCTCCACGAAATAACAAAAGCTGCACAGCTTTGGAATAAACATACAGTAAAAGCAAAGTGTAAGGATGGTACGGGTATGGATGTACAGATACAGGAACCAGGAAGGGAAAAGAAAAAGGGAGAAAAAGAAAGTGGAAAGGAAAAGGAAGAAGTGAAAAGGAAGAAAGGAAAAAGGAAAAAGACAGGGAAGAAGCAAGGGAGAACAACTGAACTCCTACCAGCTCAAATCAGGATGAGTGGAATTTGGCAGAAAGTAACAGGCCTAAGAGGTAGGAAACAATATTAAAACCACAGGTATGTTGTAAGTTAGAACTTGGGACAAACCTTATGAATTAACCAGCAGCCCACAGAGTCACAGACCTGAAGGGGCTGGACAAACTCTGGGGGTTGTCAACCCAACCCCCTGCTAAAGCAGTTCCCTACAGATCCAGGTGGGTTTTGAATATCTCCAGAGGAGGAGAGCCCAGCACCTCTCTGTGCAGATTGCTTTGGGGCTGTGTCTCTCAGAGGAAAGAAATGTTTCCTCAAGTTTGTATGGAACTTCCTATGTTCCAGTTTGTGCCTGTTGCCCTTGTCCTGTCCGGGCACCACTGAACAGAGCCTGGCCCCATCCACTTGCCTCCTGCACTTCAGATATTTATGAGCAGTGCTTCAAAACAGAAAAACCCAGCACAGGCCCTCTAGATTCAATATTTTCTTCAGCAATGGTATCCAAGGATGGTTCAGAATCTCCATCTTATTTGTCAATTTCTATGTAATTTATATTTCTTATTAAGCATTAATTTTTCTTTCTTGAGGCAATGATGGAAAAAGAGCTCTCTTCCGTCTGAACCGTTCTGCTTCCTGTCCTGTGAGCATTGCAACTAGTTGGGATTTGAGGCAATTCTTCAGTTCTACATCTCTTTTCCTCTTCTGACTGTGATGAAGTCCATACCCATTCTACCACATAAAGTATTTTATTGGATAGAAGACAGACATAATCACAGATCTCCGGTTCACCTAGCTCCTTACTTCCGCTCTCAGCAGTATCTCACTGGGTCACATGCAGTGGGTTGCCTTTAGCCATCAAGACACCTGAAGTATTTTTATGCCTGTCCATTTTTCCTTACCGTCATCACCTTGCAACATCATATTTCATGTTAGTGCTGGGCAGCCACCTTGAACTCAAGCAATTTCTCAGCTGGTGAAGTATATCAACAGCATTTCCAACTTCTTTGTGCAGTGACAGCTTTGCCACTTTATCTTCTAACTCAGCTGGTAAAGCTTACCCCTGGCAGCACAGCTGGGACTGTGCTCTGTGAGACCCTAGAACCCTCCAGACACAGGGTAAGCTGAGGAGGCAATGGGCATGCCTCTGTCACTGCCCTCCCACTGCCCTCACCAGTGCTGGTCCTACACAGTGCCTTTTCCTGAGGGCTTGGAGTGAAATATGCTTCCAGTCTGCATCTCTGATAGTTTGCGAGCTGATGCTGAAAAGGGAGGGAAGAAAGAGTAAACCTCAAAATGTGAATTAATTGTAAGACATCAAATGTGCATGGCCTGATAGGCAGTGACTGAAGGAAAGGGTGGAGGTGAGGGGGGAGGCAGGACAGAAGCAAGGCAGCTGTGTCTGCTCAGCGTCATGCAGGTTCATGGTGCTGTTCTTCAATGGCCTCCTGAGCCTTCGGCTCCTGCTTCTGACATTCAGAGAGAGCTGCAGGCAGAGGGATCCCAGGGTGTTCAGGCCCAGTTAGGGCCAGGGTCTCCTTCAGCCTATTGGGGCCGGGGATGGCAGAAGGCACTGCAGGAGATCCCCTGAGGCACTGTGCAGGAGGAAAGGCAGCAAGGATGCTGCTGCAGGCAGTGGGCTCTGAGCCAGGGCCTGGGGATGTGGTCTTTTCCCTAGCAACACACCCTGATCTTCCAGTTCTGGTGTGTCTCAGCCTTGTGCTTGATGTCTTTCTGCTTCAGGATCTTTGAGATGACTGTGAAGGTTTCTCCCAAGGCCTGTGGAGCAGCAGAAGCTGGCAGAAGGCACCACAGCACGTGGAAGGAGACCTGATGCCCGCTGCCTCTTAGTCAGGGTGCGTTACGGGAAGTTGCTCAGGGGGACAGAGTGTGAACTGGGTTGGAAGGGCAAGGCGGGCACACAGAAGCAGTAACCCTTCTGTGGGCTTCCCCAGGACGATGCTCAGCTGGGTGTCTCACAGCTCCTCCGTGCTCAGGCTCCAGGTGGCAGAGCTCTGAACCCAGGCTGCAGGGCCAGGGTTCCTTCATCTGCACTGAGGGAGGAGGCCAGCCATGATGGACGTGGCATGAGGAAGGAACGGGAGCTGTGCCCAGGCTTCAGGGACTCAGGCAGTGGCACCCCAAGGGGACAGACATCCCCGGGGGCCAATTGCCTGCATCCCTGGCCCTTGATGCCCAGAGCTGTGTGGGGTCAGCACGCCCCTGCCCACACAAATGGTCAGGGCTGAAATCCATACCTGTGCCATGCTCTGGGTCTTGTCATTCACAGGGAACAGCAGCAGAAGCAGGCTCAAGCACAATCTGCATTTCTCTCTTATGTTCCACTGTCTTTTTATTAGTGTACAGTGAGTTCTCACAAAACTCCTGCTTTTGTTGTGCTCCGGCCCCTCTGGCTGGCATATTCCAGATGGTGCCTTAGAAGGGCAGAGTAGAGGGGAACAATCATGACTCTGCTGCATCCAGGTACATCAGTGGAGGACCTGATCCAGGCTCTCAGCAGGACCTTGCACTTGGCCTCGTTGAACTCCACCAGGTTGGCATGGGCCCACCTCTCAAGCCTGTCCAGGTCCCTCTGGATGGCATCCCTTCCCTCTAGCGGCTCATTGCACCGCTCAGCTTGGTACCAGCTGTAAAACTGCTGAGGGTGCGCTCAATCCCACTGTCCATGCTGCCTACAAAGATGGTGAATCAAACCGACCCCAGCACTGATCTCTGGGGAATACAGTCGTCACCAGTCTCCATGTGGACATTGAGCCATTGACCACAACTCTCTGAATGCCCATGTCTCCCCATCCCATCTACAACCATATGACCCCATATTTGAGCTGTGAACTCAGGGATCCTGAGATTTCCCCATCCCATGTCCACTCCGCCTCATTTCCAAGACCAAGAAAGTGTCCCCACAGCACTGACCCCCTGGGAGCTCTGACCCCCTGCCCCTGAGGCGCCTGGCCCTGGAGTGCTGAGGCCCACGGCCAGAGCTATTCTGCCTTCGCAGAGCTGCCTTCCCAAGCAGGGCATGTCTGTCTGCGTAAAACCAGAGGGCTGGCTCATCCAAATGCTTGCTGATTGTTTGGAAGCCCAAATCCTTCCAGCCTCCAAGCTGGAGGCAACACCTCTTGGGTGCAATCGTGCGGCGCCTGAGTGAGAGGGTGACCCGAGATGGCTGCACAAGAGTCACCTTAATTTCTCTGTTATCTTACTTCCAATAACCCCACTGGGTGACCCTTGTGTCGGTCTCTTAGAATTTGGATCTAGGAGGTGACTGTTCCATTGGTTTATAATGTTCTGCAGGAGTGATGCGGAACCATGGTGAGGTCACAGTGGTTGCTGGGGTGGCAGGGCTTGGCCCTTGGTGGCGAGCAGAGCTGGTGCTCTAGTGAGCGAGTGGCACACAGAGACTGAGCTCTGAGCGTTTTGTGGCAAGGATCATCCTTGAGAGCCCGTCAGAAGCACCGCTGCGGCGTGTGTGTGACCTGGGCACAGCCTGGACTGACCTGGACCAAGAGGTGAGCTGGGCTTGGTGCTGCGTGGTGGCTGTAAGGAGTCTCAGCAGAAAAGCTGGGCTGGGGAGGAGTTCCCAGCTCAAACGAGGCCCTTCCCAATGGCTGTTGCCAGGGGAAATTGATTCTCTGAGAGACTGTGGCACACGTTTGGGTGAGGATGACGAATTGCCATCACTCCCCTGTGTAACGCTGCAGTGCAATGGAAAGTGCAGCAGTAACAACAGGGTGGCAAAGTCCGAGGCTGCAGCAAGGGAGGATTTGCCCAAGTGCAGCAGCTGTGGACACAGAAAGAAAGGAAAAAAGCTGCTGAGCCTTGGAAGGCCTCAGGTAGCAGGGATCTCCACTCAGACACCCTTGCCTCCACTGCCAACCCTTCAGTGATGACTGGGAAGAGTTTGTGTGCACCTGAGCTGCCCTGCCTTCCCACCAGGTGCTCAATCACTGCCTCAAGTCAAGCTGTGACCATTGCCACACAGCTTTGCCACTACAAAAGAGTTAGGCAGATAGACACAAGTTGGATGTAGACTTGGCACAGTTCTTGCAACCTGCTGCTTCTGAGACTCCTCGAGAGTCACAGAAACGAAGAAAGATGGGAAACTGCTTATTGCTCATGATTCTTCCCTTGTTGACTCTTTCCTTAGGGTTCCATCTGAAAGGTGATCTTGGGTCCAAGCAGTCCCAGAGTGCAGCCGCCTCTTTCCAAGAGCGGGGAATTCCTTTGGAGACAGCCCAACCTTGCTCCAAGAAGTTCCCCATGCCTCAGAAAGGAGTCGACTGCCACTTCTATTTCAACTCTGTCTGCTTTAAGGTATGGTTGGGTGTCTTTTGCCTGGATTTCCTTCCTTTCCTCGCTTTGAAGAGGAAGGGCTGGAGCAGGGGGAGACCTGCTGGCGATGCGTTGCCTTCATCAGCAGTGGCATTGTGCGCTCCCTGCTACCAACCTGGGCCGACAGCACGGACGTCTTTCAGGCTGTGCTCTTATGTTCCTTTTGCTTGCAGGGAGACAGCTGTCCCTTCCGCCACTGCGAAGCGGCTCTGGGGAGTGAAGAGGTCTGCAAGCTGTGGATGCAGGGTCGCTGTTCCAGCAGCGACTGCAGGCTCAGACACACAAAAATTGATGTGAGTGCTTGCCTAAAGATGAGCTCTCCACTTCTCTCTGGCACCACCTGCAGCGCTGCATCTCTCTGCAAACCTCCTCTGCCTGTTTCCATGACCCTTCCTTTCTTTCTCTCTTCAGAAGAAGCGCAGTGAGATTCCCTGCTACTGGGAGAATCGGCCGGGAGGCTGTCAGAAAGCCCACTGCCCTTTCCTTCACTTGAAGGAACGCGGTGGGAAGGCACCGACTGTACCACCAAGTGACGGTGAGTTCCTGATGGCATGAAGCATGACAGACTTAATGATGAATATTACTTCTGAGCGGGTGCAGGATGTCAGGTAACATTCATTGGGGAGCGCAGGGAAGAGTGGTGATCAGTGAAATATTGGTTTGTGTTTTGGCTGTCAGAATAGGGGTGGGTGTTTTCTGGAGAGAGGTCAATGCATTGCAGGTCTGTGCCGACTGCAGAAATGGCACAACATTTGAGCAGGGGAAAGGCCAATGCAAGAAACTGTGCTTGAAAATTGGAAGCTTGTGGCTTGGTGCGCTGAAACCTTCCTCCAAAGAGATGCTCTTCAATTATTTCTTGTCTCCTTTCTGCCAGAAGCTGACACGAGCCTTCCTCTGACCAGCGGCCCTGCACAAAGTCTGGAGAGCCAGACAGAGGTTGAGAAGGCAGCAGAGAGAGGTACAGATACTGAACAGGCATCTGGGTTTGAGGCGCTGCCTTTCGACTCCCATGTTCTGATTGTTCTCTCCTGGACTGTTCTCTGCAGGTGACATCCCATCTTCCTCCCATGGCCCGGCTGCGCAAAAGCGCAAGCGATGTCAGGAGAAGGGCAAAGCAAGCGAGTTGCCTCTCAAGAAGAGAGTCAAGGGTGAGCAGCAGGAGCTTGTTGCAGTGCCTCAGCACAGTCATGGTGCCACTCAGCATTGTTGTGTGTCAGAGTTTTCCTTGCCCTGGACTATTGCTGAGTGCAGCTCGTGGGTTTCTTTGTTCCTTTCGATGCGCTGTTGGTAGAGATGGCTGTGTGGAAAACATTGCTGAGAATCCTGGACATGGCAATGTAATTCCGCTGGCCAAATGTATTTCGCTTTGTTGTGGGTTGGCTTGTGGGAATGATAGGAGAACGGGGATTTCTCTTGAGCCACAGCAAGACCTTATCAGCAACCTCTTCCTTTTACTGCAGCTGGACGCAAGGTGTACCTCAGGTCTGCTGCTTGGAAATCCACCTTCCCCAGGAAGCAGACACTGAAGCGGAAAGCAGCGGACATGCAACCGTCTGCTGCTGAGGACACCGATGAGCCCCCAGCCAGAAAACTGCCTATGGTAAGAGCAGCAGAACAGCAGCAGTGCATACGGAAGGTTTACACTGCACTTGAAGTCAAGGTGGACATTTCACATGTTCTACAGGTCTGCTGTTGCCTTTGAAGGCAGCAGATGTCTCACAGGGTACTTGTGGAAGACCTCTATTTTGGGTAGATGTAGGGCAAGGATTATGTAAGACTCTGTGATTCTACAATTCTCAGATTGCTCTGCGGTGTGAAGGATTTTGTCCACGAATGGTGCGCTGTTAAAAGCACCCGAGGTCATTGTAACCTTCAAGAGAAGGTTTGTAACCATTGTAACCATTGTAACCTTCAAGAGAAGGCTTTCTTCAGGAGCCCCGAGCTTCTGTATTTGGGTTCAGGCTCAGCAGTGCCCAGGGGAGGGAGGAGCAGTCCTCAAAGATCATCCAGTGCTCCAGCTGTCCTGCTGTGGCCAGGGCTGCCAGCCACGAGATCTGACAGCCTGAAACCCATCCAGCCTGGCCTTGAATGCCTCCAGGGATGGGGCATCCACAGCTTCTCTGGGAAAAGAAGCTACTTAGGAAGCTTTGAGCCGTGCTTCATACACACTGTCTTGTTTCTTCCTAGGCCATCGTTCCAGCCCTGCCTGGGGACAGCCTGGTGACCATTCCTGCAGTTGAAACACCTCCGAGCAGGTGATGACCACCACTTGTTCTTTGTCAGTGCCATTTTTACATTGGACATAAGTTCTTTCACATCAGGGGACAAATGGGGTGTTTGAGATGTGCCGTGGCATAATGCAACAAACAAAGAGGTCATCTGCAACAACTTAAATTGCTCGCTCAGAATCTCTGCTGAGTATGTCATGGGGACAAGGAACTCAGCCAGTAAACAGCTTTATGCAGAGGATGACTTCTTCATGCATTTACAGTCAAACAATGAGGCTGGCAGTGTGCTTCTGCTACAAAACCTGGCCCCTGTTGGCTGGACTCAAACTGCTCTGTCTGCACACATCAATTGCCACTGTGACACGTGTGCCTGCTGGTATCTTGCACTCTCAAGGCAGCCTCAGGTGAACTGAATCGCCATCCCTCTGCGAGCGTGAGGTGCGGGAGGGGTTAACCACAGATCTCAGAGCTGGTAGCTGAAAGCGTACCTGCAGTTAGAAATGCCAGGTGCTGATTGTTCTCTTCCTTGTTCTCCCCAGTCTGGAACTGCTTCTGGGAAGCCAGGCAGACTCCGTGGCAGACTCTGTGCCTTGGGCCTCACAAGCAGCACATCAGATGCAGCAGCTGAGCTGCACAGAGGCGGGGAAAGCGCTCATCTCCGAGGAGGATGACATCGAGACATTAATGATGGAAATCATGGGAGATGAGTTAGAAGGAGAAATTGACATGGATACTGAGAAGGATACGGACGAGCTCCTTCAGGAACTGTCTGACATCATTGACAGTGTACCACCATAGACTGATTGTATATTTTAAAACAACCAACAACAAAAAACAATTAAAACCAACCCTATTCCTTTTCAACCAACCCTGTTCCTTTTCTTTCTTATACTGTGGGGACACTTTTCGTGAAACTGTGCAAGGAGTCTGAAAGCAAACTGGTCAAAATCAGCAGTGGAAAAGAATGGTGCAGAAACTAGAAAATGCTGGGATCATAAGACCTGCACATAGCCCGTGTAATTCCCCCATATGGCCAGTGGGGAAGTCAGGCTGCACATGGAGAATGACAGTGAGTTACAGAGCATTAAACAAGGTTACGTTTCTTGTTCATGCAGCCGTACCCAATATTGCCTCTCTGATGGATACAGGGATGGAGTAGAGACATAAAAACCTACCACTGTGTCCTAGACTTGGCAAATGCATTCTTCACTATTGCCATCCATGAAGAATCCCAAGGTCGGTTTGCATTTACACGGGGAGGCAGGCAGCAGACCTTTCAGGGCCTGCCACAAACGTGTGTGCGTTCACCAACCTGTTGTCAGGACAGGCCCAGGCACTGGGTATCTTCAGTCCTACCCTTCCAGCCAAACTAGATGTCCATGGAACTCAGGATGGGTTTGGCTGGGGCCTATGGCAGTTCCAACATTCTCTTTGAACTGCAGTTGGGTTCTGGTCTCAGGTTTGGCATGGAGCAGAAGTGAGGTACAGCATGACTGAAAAACATTATTGGCTGCCTGTTCCGTATTACAAGCAGTAGAGCCAATAACCCAAACAACTGAAGTCGTAGTTAAGACCACCTTGCCAATTCAGGGCTGGGTGAAAGATCTGACCCACCTTCCTAAGACAGGAGTGGCCCAAGTACAGACAACGGCAGATGGGTTGCCTATCTCGGGCACAGGAATAGTCTGTCTTCATCACCACTGAAAGAAGAGCATCACTTTGGCCCAATGATGTATCATGGCTATGTGCCAGAAGAGACAGTGATCTCTCCATCAGAGAAGAGTCCCATTCAAGAAGGGAAATATCTCATTCCTGAAGATGCCTGGTATACAGATGTGTCCTGCAAGGTAACTCCAGCAAACCTTCTGGTTTGAAGATGAGGATGGTCAGAGTAGCCAACGGGCAGAGCTGTGAGCTGTGTGGATGGTTATAACCAAGGAACCCCGTGATGATATACTGAATATCTGCACAGGCAGTTGGGCTGTGTACTGTGGGCTCACCCTTTGGATTGCACAGTGGGCCATCCAGGAACGGACTACCCACACCCAACCAATCTGGGGCAGAGATTTGTGGTTGGACATACAGAATGTGGTTCTGACACAGGATTCAGACACAGGACTGCACATGTCTACCACATTTCTGGCCACCAACCTCTACAGTCACCAGGAAATGGTGAAGCCAACACGATGGCCCGAATTGGATGGGTTGAGGATTCACCATCTGAGAACATCGCCCATTGGTTACGTCAGAAGCTGCAGCATGCAGGACAAGACAGTGTGGACAGCTGATAAAGCATGGGGGCTGCCCATACAGCTATCTGACAACGCCAAGGCATGCTGAGACTGCGATGCTCCAAGATGAGACCTGTGGGACAAAGAATGTCATTACCCTGCAAATGAGTAAACGAGCTTGGTAGCTACTTGCGCCAGATGTAAACATGCACAAGGTGCCTGGTCGGTGCCTGTGAGCAAGGAGTAGTTGTGCAGGTATATTGAAAGCACATAAAATAAAGGTCTTCCTTCTGCACCAGCAAGGGAGTCCGTGACTCTCCTGCCACACCTTCGGCTGCTGCTTCTGACATTCAGAGAGAGCTGCAGGCAGAGGGATCCCAGGGTGCTCAGGCCCAGTTAGGGCCAGTGTCTCCTTTGGCTTGTTGGGGCCAGGGAGGGCAGAAGGGACTGCAGGAGATCCCCTGAGGCACTGTGCAGGAGGAAAGGCAGCAAGGATGCTGCTGCAGGCAGCGGGCTCTGAGCTGGGACTGCACAGCCAGGCACAGCTGCACAGCCCACAGCCTGGGCATGTGTGGCAGGCTCATCCAGCCAGGGCCTGGGGATGTGGTCTTTTCCCTAGCAACACACCCTGATCTTCCAGTTCTGGTGTGTCTCAGCCTTGTGCTTGATGTCTTTCTGCTTCAGGATCTTTGAGATGACTGTGAAGGTTTCTCCCAAGGCCTGTGGAGCAGCAGAAGCTGGCAGAAGGCACCACAGCACGTGGAAGGAGACCTGATGTCCGCTGCCTCTTAGTCAGGGTGCGTTACGGGAAGTTGCTCAGGGGGACAGAGTGTGAACTGGGTTGGAAGGGCAAGGCGGGCACACAGAAGCAGTAACCCTTCTGTGGGCTTCCCCAGGACGATGCTCAGCCGGGTGTCTCACAGCTCCTCCGTGCTCAGGCTCCCGGTGGCAGAGCTCTGAACCCAGGCTGCAGGGCCAGGGTTCCTTCATCTGCACTGAGGGAGGAGGCCAGCCATGATGGACGTGGCATGAGGAAGGAACGGGAGCCGTGCCCGGGCTTCAGGGACTCAGGCAGTGGCACCCCAAGGGGACAGACATCCCCGGGGGCCAATTGCCTGCATCCCTGGCCCTTGATGCCCAGAGCTGTGTGGGGTCAGCACGCCCCTGCCCACACAAATGGTCAGGGCTGAAATCCATACCTGTGCCATGCTCTGGGTCTTGTCATTCACAGGGAACAGCAGCAGAAGCAGGCTCAAGCACAATCTGCATTTCTCTCTTATGTTCCACTGTCTTTTTATTAGTGTACAGTGAGTTCTCACAAAACTCCTGCTTTTGTTGTGCTCCGGCCCCTCTGGCTGGCATATTCCAGATGGTGCCTTAGAAGGGCAGAGTAGAGGGGAACAATCATGACTCTGCTGCATCCAGGTACATCAGTGGAGGACCTGATCCAGGCTCTCAGCAGGACCTTGCACTTGGCCTCGTTGAACTCCACCAGGTTGGCATGGGCCCACCTCTCAAGCCTGTCCAGGTCCCTCTGGATGGCATCCCTTCCCTCTAGCGGCTCATTGCACCGCTCAGCTTGGTACCAGCTGTAAAACCGCTGAGGGTGCGCTCAATCCCACTGTCCGTGCTGCCTACAAAGATGGTGAATCAAACCGACCCCAGCACTGATCTCTGGGGAATACAGTCGTCACCAGTCTCCATGTGGACATTGAGCCATTGACCACAACTCTCTGAATGCCCATGTCTCCCCATCCCATCTACAACCATATGACCCCATATTTGAGCTGTGAACTCAGGGATCCTGAGATTTCCCCATCCCATGTCCACTCCGCCTCATTTCCAAGACCAAGAAAGTGTCCCCACAGCACTGACCCCCTGGGAGCTCTGACCCCCTGCCCCTGAGGCGCCTGGCCCTGGAGTGCTGAGGCCCACGGCCAGAGCTATTCTGCCTTCGCAGAGCTGCCTTCCCAAGCAGGGCATGTCTGTCTGCGTAAAACCAGAGGGCTGGCTCATCCAAATGCTTGCTGATTGTTTGGAAGCCCAAATCCTTCCAGCCTCCAAGCTGGAGGCAACACCTCTTGGGTGCAATCGTGCGGCGCCTGAGTGAGAGGGTGACCTGAGATGGCTGCACAAGAGTCACCTTAATTTCTCTGTTATCTTACTTCCAATAACCCCACTGGGTGACCCTTGTGTCGGTCTCTTAGAATTTGGATCTAGGAGGTGACTGTTCCATTGGTTTATAATGTTCTGCAGGAGTGATGCGGAACCATGGTGAGGTCACAGTCGTTGCTGGGGTGGCAGGGCTTGGCCCTCGGTGGCGAGCAGAGCTGGTGCTCTAGTGAGCGAGTGGCACACAGAGACTGAGCTCTGAGCGTTTTGTGGCAAGGATCATCCTTGAGAGCCCGTCAGAAGCACCGCTGCGGCGTGTGTGTGACCTGGGCACAGCCTGGACTGACCTGGACCAAGAGGTGAGCTGGGCTTGGTGCTGCGTGGTGGCTGGAAGGAGTCTCAGCAGAAAAGCTGGGCTGGGGAGGAGTTCCCAGCTCAAACGAGGCCCTTCCCAATGGCTGTTGCCAGGGGAAATTGATTCTCTGAGAGACTGCGGCACACGTTTGGGTGAGGATGACGAATTGCCGTCACTCCCCTGTGTAACGCTGCAGTGCAATGGAAAGTGCAGCAGTAACAACAGGGTGGCAAAGTCCGAGGCTGCAGCAAGGGAGGATTTGCCCAAGTGCAGCAGCTGTGGACACAGAAAGAAAGGAAAAAAGCTGCTGAGCCTTGGAAGGCCTCAGGTAGCAGGGATCTCCACTCAGACACCCTTGCCTCCACTGCCAACCCTTCAGTGATGACTGGGAAGAGTTTGTGTGCACCTGAGCTGCCCTGCCTTCCCACCAGGTGCTCAATCACTGCCTCAAGTCAAGCTGTGACCATTGCCACACAGCTTTGCCACTACAAAAGAGTTAGGCAGATAGACACAAGGTGGATGTAGACTTGGCACAGTTCTTGCAACCTGCTGCTTCTGAGACTCCTCGAGAGTCACAGAAACGAAGAAAGATGGGAAAGTGCTTATTGCTCATGATTCTTCCCTTGTTGACTCTTTCCTTAGGGTTCCATCTGAAAGGTGATCTTGGGTCCAAGCAGTCCCAGAGTGCAGCCGCCTCTTTCCAAGAGCGGGGAATTCCTTTGGAGACAGCCCAACCTTGCTCCAAGAAGTTCCCCATGCCTCAGAAAGGAGTCGACTGCCACTTCTATTTCAACTCTGTCTGCTTTAAGGTATGGTTGGGTGTCTTTTGCCTGGATTGTCTTCCTTTCCTCGCTTTGAAGAGGAAGGGCTGGAGCAGGGGGAGACCTGCTGGCGATGCGTTGCCTTCCTCAGCAGTGGCATTGTGCGCTCCCTGCTACCAACCTGGGCCGACAGCACGGACGTCTTTCAGGCTGTGCTCTTATGTTCCTTTTGCTTGCAGGGAGACAGCTGTCCCTTCCGCCACTGCGAAGCGGCTCTGGGGAGTGAAGAGGTCTGCAAGCTGTGGATGCAGGGTCGCTGTTCCAGCAGCGACTGCAGGCTCAGACACACAAAAATTGATGTGAGTGCTTGCCTAAAGATGAGCTCTCCACTTCTCTCTGGCACCACCTGCAGCGCTGCATCTCTCTGCAAACCTCCTCTGCCTGTTTCCATGACCCTTCCTTGCTTTCTCTCTTCAGAAGAAGCGCAGTGAGATTCCCTGCTACTGGGAGAATCGGCCGGGAGGCTGTCAGAAAGCCCACTGCCCTTTCCTTCACTTGAAGGAACGCGGTGGGAAGGCACCGACTGTACCACCAAGTGACGGTGAGTTCCTGATGGCATGAAGCATGACAGACTTAATGATGAATATTACTTCTGAGCGGGTGCAGGATGTCAGGTAACATTCATTGGGGAGCGCAGGGAAGAGTGGTGATCAGTGAAATATTGGTTTGTGTTTTGGCTGTCAGAATAGGGGTGGGTGTTTTCTGGAGAGAGGTCAATGCATTGCAGGTCTGTGCCGACTGCAGAAATGGCACAACATTTGAGCAGGGGAAAGGCCAATGCAAGAAACTGTGCTTGAAAATTGGAAGCTTGTGGCTTGGTGCGCTGAAACCTTCCTCCAAAGAGATGCTCTTCAATTATTTCTTGTCTCCTTTCTGCCAGAAGCTGACACGAGCCTTCCTCTGACCAGCGGCCCTGCACAAAGTCTGGAGAGCCAGACAGAGGTTGAGAAGGCAGCAGAGAGAGGTACAGATACTGAACAGGCATCTGGGTTTGAGGCGCTGCCTTTCGACTCCCATGTTCTGATTGTTCTCTCCTGGACTGTTCTCTGCAGGTGACATCCCATCTTCCTCCCATGGCCCGGCTGCGCAAAAGCGCAAGCGATGTCAGGAGAAGGGCAAAGCAAGCGAGTTGCCTCTCAAGAAGAGAGTCAAGGGTGAGCAGCAGGAGCTTGTTGCAGTGCCTCAGCGCAGTCATGCTGCCACTCAGCATTGTTGTGTGTCAGAGTTTTCCTTGCCCTGGACTATTGCTGAGTGCAGCTCGTGGGTTTCTTTGTTCCTTTCGATGCGCTGTTGGTAGAGATGGCTGTGTGGAAAACATTGCTGAGAATCCTGGACATGGCAATGTAATTCCGCTGGCCAAATGTATTTCGCTTTGTTGTGGGTTGGCTTGTGGGAATGATAGGAGAACGGGGATTTCTCTTGAGCCACAGCAAGACCTTATCAGCAACCTCTTCCTTTTACTGCAGCTGGACGCAAGGTGTACCTCAGGTCTGCTGCTTGGAAATCCACCTTCCCCAGGAAGCAGACACTGAAGCGGAAAGCAGCGGACATGCAACCGTCTGCTGCTGAGGACACCGATGAGCCCCCAGCCAGAAAACTGCCTATGGTAAGAGCAGCAGAACAGCAGCAGTGCATACGGAAGGTTTACACTGCACTTGAAGTCAAGGTGGACATTTCACATGTTCTACAGGTCTGCTGTTTCCTTTGAAGGCAGCAGATGTCTCACAGGGTACTTGTGGAAGACCTCTATTTTGGGTAGATGTAGGGCAAGGATTATGTAAGACTCTGTGATTGTACAATTCTCAGATTGCTCTGTGGTGTGAAGGATTTTGTCCACGAATGGTGCGCTGTTAAAAGCACCCGAGGTCATTGTAACCTTCAAGAGAAGGTTTGTAACCATTGTAACCATTGTAACCTTCAAGAGAAGGCTTTCTTCAGGAGCCCCGAGCTTCTGTATTTGGGTTCAGGCTCAGCAGTGCCCAGGGGAGGGAGGAGCAGTCCTCAAAGATCATCCAGTGCTCCAGCTGTCCTGCTGTGGCCAGGGCTGCCAGCCACGAGATCTGACAGCCTGAAACCCATCCAGCCTGGCCTTGAATGCCTCCAGGGATGGGGCATCCACAGCTTCTCTGGGAAAAGAAGCCACTTAGGAAGCTTTGAGCCGTGCTTCATACACACTGTCTTGTTTCTTCCTAGGCCATCGTTCCAGCCCTGCCTGGGGACAGCCTGGTGACCATTCCTGCAGTTGAAACACCTCCGAGCAGGTGATGACCACCACTTGTTCTTTGTCAGTGCCATTTTTACATTGGACATAAGTTCTTTCACATCAGGGGACAAATGGGGTGTTTGAGATGTGCCGTGGCATAATGCAACAAACAAAGAGGTCATCTGCAACAACTTAAATTGCTCGCTCAGAATCTCTGCTGAGTATGTCATGGGGACAAGGAACTCAGCCAGTAAACAGCTTTATGCAGAGGATGACTTCTTCACGCATTTACAGTCAAACAATGAGGCTGGCAGTGTGCTTCTGCTACAAAACCTGGCCCCTGTTGGCTGGACTCAAACTGCTCTGTCTGCACACATCAATTGCCACTGTGACACGTGTGCCTGCTGGTATCTTGCACTCTCAAGGCAGCCTCAGGTGAACTGAATCGCCATCCCTCTGCGAGCGTGAGGTGCGGGAGGGGTTAACCACAGATCTCAGAGCTGGTAGCTGAAAGCGTACCTGCAGTTAGAAATGCCAGGTGCTGATTGTTCTCTTCCTTGTTCTCCCCAGTCTGGAACTGCTTCTGGGAAGCCAGGCAGACTCCGTGGCAGACTCTGTGCCTTGGGCCTCACAAGCAGCACATCAGATGCAGCAGCTGAGCTGCACAGAGGCGGGGAAAGCGCTCATCTCCGAGGAGGATGACATCGAGACATTAATGATGGAAATCATGGGAGATGAGTTAGAAGGAGAAATTGACATGGATACTGAGAAGGATACGGACGAGCTCCTTCAGGAACTGTCTGACATCATTGACAGTGTAACACCATAGACTGATTGTATATTTTAAAACAACCAACAACAAAAAACAATTAAAACCAACCCTATTCCTTTTCAACCAACCCTGTTCCTTTTCTTTCTTATACTGTGGGGACACTTTTCCTGAAACCGTGCAATGAGTCTTAAAGCAGAGTCAAACTTGTCAAAATCAGCACTGCCTGCATTCTGTTCTCCTTATTTCCCTGCTGCTCAGAGTTCAGGGGCCGTGCACCCACTCCCCAGCCCCGGGCAGCTGCCTTCAGCATCAAGAGCAGAAAGCACTTGTGTGGACACAGAAAGACATCCATCCGCAAGGCCAAACCTGAAACCTCTTCCTTCCTCCCCCCTTGGCAAAACTCTTCATTGCGCTCCTGTGGGAGCTCTGGGGTTCTGCTTCTTTGTACAATGCCTGTGTCAACTGCAGCGCTGCCACCCTCACCTCCCACTTTCTCCCCCTTCCCTCAGGTCTCACGCTGCATGGTGCGGTTCTTCTCCTTGAACAAAAGCTGCACACCCAGTACAACCAGCACACCCCTTTCCTTGCCTACACCCTGCTTGCTTACCCTTGTGGGCAGCAAGGGGCAGCGGCTTGCAGCGTTAGGGCAATCCCTTATTGCATCTGACTCCTGCTTCTCATCCCATTGCCCAAGAACAGCGGTGGAGTCACTCATCTCCTGACAGCCCAGTGGGGGGAAGTTCATTACTATGAGAGCAGTCAGGTGCCCAGAGTTGCTGAGATGTCCCGTCCCTACTGGTGTTCAATGCCAGGTTGGATGGGGCCCCGGGCAGCCTGGTCTGGTATTAATTGGTGCCCTGCATACTGCATAGTATGGGAGTTGGAGCTTCATGATCCTTGAGGTCCCTTCCAGCCAAGGCCATTCCATGTTTTATGATTGGAAGCTCTTGAAATCTTCAAGGTTTCTTTCCCCACTTGTGCTTTCCTGCCCACCTTTTCCCACCACTTTCCTCATGGTTCCTAATGGCTTTATGTGCTTTGTCTTGGTAAAGCACTTCATATTCTGGATTACCAGATATTCTCTTCCCGAAGTGTTGTCAGCATATTGTCAGCATGTGATCACTGCTCCCTAGGCAACAACCATTGGAATTACAGAGCTGTGACGCAAATTAACACTGTTTTAAAAAGTAATGTGAGTATGTGTGTGCATATATTGTAACTGTGTGGCTTAATAAATCAGTGCTGGAGCCCAGCACTCACGCTGGGGCCCGCAGGAGGTTTACAGGGGAACACAACGATGGGGGGATTTGGGAGGGAGCTGGAGGCTGAGCCGCTGTGCAGGAAGCAGCCCCAGCAACCGGCGTGGCTTCTGAGGGACCCCCTTTGGCCGGGGCCTGGGAAGGCTTCCAGGTGGCAGCGACAGCGCAGCTCTTCCCCTTCCCTTTCTCTCTACTTCCGCTTCCCTTTTCCTCCCTTTCCTTTCCGTTTCCACTTCCCGCCCACCCCATTGGTTGCAGCCCCCCCTCGCTGTGCGCATGCGCACACCGCGGTCCGGCCGGGCGCTGTGATGGCGATGCGGGGACGCGGGCGGCGGAGCCGCGGTCGGGGCCGTGGGGCGGTCGGGGCCGCGCGTGATGGCGGCGCGGAGCTGCAGGAGGAGGAGCAGCAGGAGCCGCCCCGCGTTTGTCACAGGTGGTGGCGAGGAGCGGGCGGGCCGTGCCGCTCCGGTCCGGCCCTGACGCTGCGTGCTGTGCCCGCAGGGTGACTCGGTTCTGCCCGCAGTGCGGCGGCGGCGTGGAGCCCACCTTCAGGTTCTGCCCGGCCTGCGGCGACAGACTGCCGGCACCGCCGCCACCGAGGGACGCGGCCGGCCCGCCACCACCGCAGGCCCCGAGCCCCGCGGCCGCCGCCGGGGATGAGCGGAGCGCGGCCGTGCCGGTGCTCTCCCCGCCGGCCGCCCGCACCCCGCCCCGCCCGCCGTGTCTCGCGGCGCGGCGCGGTTCCCCCTCGCCCCGCAAGGCCCGGCCCGGTCCCGCCGAGCCGCTCCCGGAGGGCGAGGAGCTGCGGGACCGCGGCGGCGGGCGCTGGCGGCTGCAGCGGCTGCTGGAGCAGGGAGGCGGCTGCGGGCTGCTCTACGAAGGTGCGGGACCCCGAGGGTTGGGGGGGGGGAGAGGGGGTTCCGCTACCCCAGGGCCTCCGGACTGCAGACGTTGGCACTGAGCGCTTCACGCTGCTGTGCGTCTCGGCGGAAAGTGGCCTGGCTGCGCTGCTGCTGCCCTGCGGGTCACGCGTCTCCGTGTCGCGCGTCAGTTCGGGGCAGGCAGGAACGTGATTGGGAACTTGAGTGCATGCCTGAGCGGTTGTAGGCTTCCAAAGGAAACATTTCAGTCCTGGAAGTTGCTCAGGAGGAGTTTTCTCCACTCTGAGGCTTTGCGTGATGTTTGGCTTTAGCATCTTTATGCTCACTTTCATTGCTGCATAATGCAGGCTGTGCATTTGCAGACGTGGTGTGAGAAGAAGGGAAGGGTGTTGTGCTGTCATTGGGACACGCTCTGGCTGAGCAGCAGCAGATAGCTGTGTTTAGCACTCAGGTAAAGGGCAGAACAACAGAGGCTTCTCCAAGGCAAGGTAATGGGTGAAATGCTGGGAGAATTTTGTCACATATATCTGTGACACCCACAAGGGGGGGGGAAGGGACTCTGATCTCATCCAGCTCTGATAAACTACAAAATGAGCTGGAGGGAGTGCTCACTAATTGATGGTGGGTGCCTTGGAGGTTCTGCTAACAATTTGTTCTTTATGTACCGTCCTCAAAGCCCATATTACTGTAGCTCCAGGTGCTCATGTGAATTGAGCAAAGCTGCACCTGGAGCCATGTTGGGGTGCTGAGCCCCCAGAGCAAGGTAAGAGTTGTTCTGTAGAAGCACTGGTAAGCACCGTCACAGAGATGCTTTTGCAGAGACCAAGAAGCAGAGGATCAGCAGAAGCCAGCTGTGCAGGCGGTGCTGAGCGATGCAGCTGACACCGCAGGTGCCTCTTTTCTGTGCTCTGTAACCACATCTGTTCCATCCTTCCACAGCACAGTCAGCATCTGGAACCTGCCCTCAAAAGCAAAGATTCTCCCTCAAACTTGTGAGTTTTGATACGCTTGGGTAAGGAATAGTGTGTAGTGTTGCATCCTGGGCCCAACCTGTCTGCTCTGTGTCACCAAAGTGTCCCATGAATGCAAAGAATGTGCTCTGAAAGGCCATGGCTGTGCTGTCCCATGGAGTGGGCACCGACTCATCGTCCTCATTGCCATGGGTGTATTCCTTAGAGAAGTGAGGGAGCTTAGGGTCCCGTTGCTTAGGGAACAGATAAAACTTCCCAGGAGCTTCTTGGTTGGCTCTTCCCCTAATGGTGCAAGAACAATTAGGAGAATTTAATTTAAAACAACAGCAGAAAACCTTCATCCCAGGAGATTGCCTCTTTCATCCAGCAGGCTGGGTGATCTCTAGAATTGAATGCAGTGGTGTGAGGTTCCTGCTTTGTTAGTGTCAGGTGTGCTGTTTTGGTATGACGTGCACAGATGCTACTGCAGTCTTGGGGGAGCTGGGGATGGCAGGATTGGTGGCTGTGCTGAAGCAGTGCCATGAAGCAGCACTGAGAGACGAAGTGCCAGAGTCCCTGGGCACTTGCCAGCGGGTCGGCGTCTCCAGAAATGTGGTATTTTCAGTAATAGCTGCTCTGTGATTACAGCTTGGTGGCAGAATGATGGCTGTGTGGGGGCTGTAGTGGTGCCCACTCACATGCACTTGTAAAATGACTCGCTCTGCTATCAGAGCAATGTGTCAGAGAGTGAGAGCAGTGTTATTAATGAGAAGAGACAGCTCACTGCTACTGAAGTAGGACCAGCAGGTGAGGAGCTCTGCACACTTATGAGCGTAACGCTCACAAGTCATCACCTTTGGCACCTCCTGGCTTTGCAGCAGAGGGTGTTTCAGTTCCTGGGTTTGACAGTTCACACTGGCTTCCCAGGCAAGATGCACGATATCTTTGGGGATGTGGTTATTTGTGCTGTCTGGAGACTGCTGATCCTGCAGAAAGCAGAGCTCCTCATGGGTGGGACTGGTGGTATCAAACACAGCAGGGAGTGAAACGCCCACCTCCTCCCTGCACAGCATCTCTCCCATGTTAGTCTGCGCTGAGCTGAGTACTCATGTATGCATACGTAAACGTGTGTGGGCACTCAGACTTGTGTATTGGTTTGTGAGCTGTCGGGTCACTTCTTAGCAGCAGGACTAAAAGAGCAGTAATGCTTGTTGCTGTAAAAAGGAAGGGTTTTAAGAATTCAGCATCACCCAGACACTTGGGAAACGCGGTGACTACAGACTTTCTTGCTTGTCTTGTTTTCTGTCAGCTAGCATAAAACACAACAGCTGCTTTTTGGACTCACCTGCTTGCAGAAATAACCTACTCATGCTGTGGCTAAGAAGGCTGCCTCTGGCTCCTAATGCAACAGCTTCAGGACTGGAGCTCACTCTGGGCTGGTTTGCATTGTTGCTGTTAACCTACACGCTTCTTAGTGGTGGTGCTTGAGATGTGAGGCAGCTGCTGCCTTGCTTTGTGCTGATGTGCAGCACTAAACAGTGAGATAAGAGACCCAAACTCTTACTTGTTTTTCCTTTTTTTCTTCTGAAGAGGGTGGGACAGGGGAAGTTCTTTCAAATGTATAGTGAAGATTGTGTAGCAATCATGTCCAAATTTCCCTTTCTAGCAGGAAGTATGTAGCTGAAGTAATGTGTTTTCTTTCTGTTTCTTTCAGGATGTCAAAGACAGTAAAATCTACAATGAACAGAACTTTTTCCAGCGAGCTGCAAAGAAAGACAGAGGTTGGTGCTCTTTGGCAGGGTGAAGACTAGGCTGCTTGTTAGGAGAGCTGTCATCTCTCCTTTGTTATCTAAGTCTCTCAGAAGGCCGCTCTAGAATAAACCAGTTTGCTTCTTCCTCTGTGCCAGTGCTGAGAAATTCAACCCTAGGCCTGCTCTCCAGCAGTGAACCTTAAGAGGGCACAGCACTGGCATTTTGCAGCTCTCTCGTTCTAGTCAGCCTTAGCTGTATTGTCACACAGCCTGACGGGCTGCTGTTCCCTTCTGTGTCCCCTCTGTAGGCATTTCTGTCATCTGCTGTCAAGTATTTACTTTGCCCACGCTCAAGTTTTTAAAGTCAACAAAGCTGACCAGACATGATAGGGGAATTCCTGCCAAATGAACACTTCTGGGAGGGCTATACTCAAATCCTTTGCAGACCTGTTTGTAGAATTTGCTTCTCCATTGCTGTTCCTGGCTCTCTCTTCTCCCCTTGCTGTTTTATGTAGCCCCACAGCAAGCACATGCTGTAGCCTGCTCTGGTATTCCCAGCATCCTTGCTGTCTTATTCTTGCTCTACAGTGCTATGTGCACTGACATGCCAACACCCTGGCACATTAGGCTGGCATTTTGAGGCAGATCAGTATGGAAACAGCTTGGCATCTGCTGCACTCTTTTCCCTCCTAGTGGAGAAGTGGAAGAAGCTGCACTCTTTGCCCCTGCTGGGCATCCCCAGCTGTCTTGGCTTTGGACTGCATGCAGATAAATACAGGTGAGGTGACTCTGTAAAGAGCACAGCTGAGCTCTTCTGTCTGCACTGCCATCTTCCTGGGCTTTCCTCCTTCCCTTCTTGCTGTGCACTGTCCTTTTTCTCGCTGTTCCCTGGGCTCTGAATGTAATGTGCCTCTCCTAATTTATTAACAAATGCTTTGCCTCTCACCATCCTGTTTCCTCTAGTCCCTGGGTTGCTGGTGTAGCCATTGCATTTGCGGCTTCTGCTCCTCTGGCCCAGGGGCACCTTGTTCTTGCCTTTTGAACTTTAAAAAAAAAAATCTCAGTCTCTTTTATCTGCAACAAACTCCTGTAGGAGGAACTTTTGTTACCTAAGTGAGGGAAGCTTTGCCCAGGTTAGTGTGAAGTTGTGCTGGGGGGGGGGGGGGAGAGGGGGGGTTCTAATCCAGGCAGATCATTTGAGTTTCTGTTGCAGGGCTTCTGTACCAGGCAGGCACTGCTACATCCTTGTCTTTTGTAGGTTTTTGGTGTTCTCTGATTTAGGGCGATCTCTTCAGTCCATTCTGAATGACAACTTACACCTGAATGAGAAGGCAGCTTTTCAGATTGCAGTCCGGCTGGTACGTAGGGAGCCAACACTTTCCAAAAGACTTGTTAAGGAAAGGCATATAACTTCCTCCCTCATCTTTTAAAGGTACTTTAAAGCTAATCCAGGGGATTTGCTGGCTCTTAAAGTAGCATCTCTAGAGCCTGTTGTAAACCTGAGTAGTGTCTCTTGAGCATTGTGTAAAATAGAAGGAATCTGAGGTAAGGAGGATGAAAGAAACCTTGAAAATCAGAGGCTGTGGGATATGGTGCTCATGTATCCTCCACACAGCTACAAGAAATGTGGGAGCAGGGTCCAGCTCAGTGGAAGCCTGGGTGCTGAGTGAGGAGTGTGTCGGTCTGATACGCTCTGCTCTTCTGTTTACCTGTAGCTGGATTGCCTGGAGTACCTTCACGAAAATGAGTATGTGCATGGGGACATCACAGCTGACAACATCTATGTGAACCCAGCAGACCTCACGCAGGTATTGAGTGGGAGCAGCGCTGCAAGGAAATGGCAGCTGAGTTGGGCTCATACAAGTGGGACAGAGCAGCTTTTGAGCAGGGGAGCAATGCAGTTCATGCAGTGTTCACGTGCAGCAGTGCAGGACTGGGGGATGCACAGGTTTAACACCCAAAGGCAGGAAACCTTAGAAGCCACCTGGTATTCCATAAAGGGATTACTCAGAGGGAAGATTCAGGCTCTGACTTGGAGATCTCTGTGGAGCAAGCAGAGCAGATGCACAGCCTGTGGTCCTGGCCCCAAGTAGTAATGCTCAGAAGTGTGTTTCCTGCTGTCTTCCAGGTGACCCTCGCAGGCTACTACTTTGCCTTCCGTTACTGCCCAGAAGGGAAGCATGTGGCTAGGCGTGAAGGCAGCAGGACTCCTCATGAGGGCACGATAGAGTTTATCAGCCAGGACAGCCACAGGGGAGCAGGTGAGTCTGTTTCTGACACAAGCTGGTAAAAAGCCCATCTGAAGCTGTTTCTGTAGCAAGGCTCTCTGAAGCTAGGGCTTCCTGCTGCCACTTGTTACTGCTGCTTTCCAGGCATGTATGTGCACCTGGAACCCAGTTTCTGTTCGGCTTATTTCCTCAAACCTCTTTCCAGGCTGCTGTGTTGGGGAATGGCCAGGTTACTCAGCAACTGCAGCAAGAGGTGCAGGGGTGTTCCTGCTCCATCTGGGGTCATGGCTCCTGCAAGTGTGCAAGGAATAGAAAACTGGGTTGCTTCATGCTGGCTTAGATGGGATCTGCTTCAAGCTAGGCTGGATCCCTGCCCAAAACAGACTCCACTCTGACCTTGAAGCAGAGAGCTGGAAGGATGTTCAGATTAGCTATTTGGTTGGGTCTCAGAAATAGACACTTCCGAGGATGTGCCATGAGTGCTGAAGTGCTCCTTTGGAGAGGTGCTAGCTGGACTTCCCCTGGGATGGCTCCCAATCCATTTTCTGCATGTGAATTTCTCTTCTTTCAGCACCATCTCGACGGAGTGACTTGGAATCTCTGGGCTACTGTCTTCTGAAATGGCTCTGCAGCTTCTTGCCTTGGTCTAAGGAGCTGGACAAAGTAGAAACTGTGATGGAAAAGAAAGAAATGTAGGAGTATTCATGTGTGTTTTGGGAAATGCTCAAAAGGAAACACTGAGGGCGATTCTGTGACTAGAGGACTGTGATCAAACGATTTCTCTTTATTGTGGTGTGGATAAATCCCACTGGAAAGTCACACTGGAAGCAGGTGGCCAAAATTATCTCCCGGGTGAAAGGGTTATTGGTGAACCCAGCTCTCAGCAGCATTTAGAGCCTGACCATCTGAATTTGGCCTTTTTTGTATTTTATTGTCAAAGACGGGATGCTTCAGTGCCTGCTCCATTGCTTCTCTTCTGACAGCTCTCTGCACTGGTTCTTCCAGGTACAAAAATGATGTGACATGCCTTCTCCAACAGTGCTTCAGCAGGCAGAGGTCGATTCCAGGTGCAGGCTTGCTTTCCTAGGGGCTTCTTGGGGAGGGAGAGGGGATTGACCATACTTGAAGCCAGAGCTTTCCTCACACTGGGGTGCTAACTGGGATGGCTTGTGGTGGTGGTGGTGACAAAGCAGTGCACAGACCAGCTGCCAGGCTCCTCCTAAGAACAAAGCCCTTGTTTGCAGCAAAGCAAAGAAGGCTGCTGCCTGTTACATCTACGTTCATAAGCCTTGCTGAAGAGGCCAGTGTTCTAGTGGCTTTAAAAATGCAGAATTTGGGGCTTGAGGTCATTTCTCCATCCTGTTTAAACTATATTAGTTCTGTGTTTTCATAGAATGGTTTGGGCTGAGAGGGGCCTCAGAGAGCCTCTAGTTTGACACCCTCCCCCATGCCATGGGCAGGGACACCTCCCGCCAGCTCAGGCTGCTCAGGGTCCCATCCTGCCTGGCCCTGAGCACCTCGAGGGATGGAGCATCCATCCACAGCTTCTCTGGACAGTGGTGCCAGAGCCTGCATAGTGGAAAATTGCTTCCTTGTATCTAAAGCCAGTCCCTCTTTTAGTGTAAAGCCATTACCCCATGTCCTGTTGCTTCATGCCCTTGTAGAAAGTTTCCTCCCCATCTTTCCCATAGTCCCCTTCAGGTACTGAAGGGCAGCAGTGAGGTCTTTCTGTAGCTGTAGAAGGGTGAGAATCCCTTCCCTGACCTCCTGGCTGCACTTCCACTGTAGCCCAGGTTTAGTTTTCCTCTCTCTGCAGCTGGCCAAGGCTGAGGAGTGATCTCTGCAGGGAATGGAGTCTGGAAATGTTCCTTGTCAGTTTTGTGAAGGTGATGGGTTGTGTGGATCCACATGGTGACATTATGTGCTTTGCAGCTGCCCTTCAGAGCTACCTGCAGCAAGTAATGGCACTGGAATATGAGGAGAAGCCGAACTATGAGGCCCTGCGGCAGCTCTTCAAAAAACCACTGCAGATGCTGAAAGCTTCAGCTTATGACTCTGTGGATATCATGGTAGTGCCCTAAGTAAGTGCCCTAAGTTCAGACTGCTGCAGCACACAGCACCAGTGCCCTGCGCTCCAAGCAGCAGTGGAGCACTGTTGCTATTACCTCAGCAGATCTCCACTTGCTGTAGCTTAAGACCTTTCTACCCTGCCATTTCATCACGTTTTCCGTGGTGTTTCAGCTTTCCATTGAGTTACAGGGAAGAAACTGTACAAACTGATTTATGTTCCCCTTTTGTCTCCTTTTAGGTCAAGAAAACTTGCACAGGACAACACAGTTCAGAGCTTTATGCAGTGTGAAGCTTTTCCAAAAGATGTGAGAGATTTTACCTACTGTTGTTTTATAATAAACTTTTTGGAAAGCACACACAGCCTGCAGCATGGGGTTACTGGGGGAATATTCAAGGCTGTGCTTTGGCTTTCTTTCCTCATGGTAGCGCAGATTTGTGATTTGAGTCTCATGTTCTGTGCAGGGCCCTCTCCCACCTGCTTGTGGTATGGATGTAAATAGCCTCCATCCCCCAGCTCAGCAGAGGTGAACGGACACCAGCCATAAAAGCAACACAGAGAGCCATTCATAGATGTAAAAACAAATTTTATATTAAAACGAACAAACAAACAAACACTACATCCTATCTGAACTGTTGCCACCTGCCACAGTAACTTCTAGATAAAGGAAGAGTTGTGGAGTCCAGTTCCAGTGTTAAAATCATTGACAATTCATGAAAGTCATAAAAACAAGAACAGAACATTAAAATACCAACACATAAAAAGAAGGCTATTTTCCTAATGTAGGCAGGCTGAAGGAGCTTTAACCCAGGATGGCTAGGCTGAGGTCAGTGTAGGAAGTTCCTTCAAAGCCCTACTTGATACAGTACAGAAGATTGCAATTTTAATGAAAGCATATGCTCCCCTTGCGGACTAGGATGCAGTTGCAAGGCTTAAATTAGGGCTTTCAGACAGTTTGCCCTTACTGCATTGCTGCCTGCTTCTAGTGTTTAAGTGAGGTGTGCTTTACTGAAGGCCACATTCATGGAAATAGCAAGGAAAACAGGCAGTGAAGGTGGGCCATGGACTGGAGGTGGCAGTTAAACCACACTGCTGCAGCATGGGTTAACAGTTCACAGTACTGTAGCATTGGGCAGTGAAGCATTAAGGCACAGGAGGATAACGTTTCAGGGAAGGAACACGTGGCAACTGAGGCCTGAGTCAAATAGGGTTTTTAAAACCATGAGAGGTAGGTTAAAAAAAAGCTCAGACCTGCAATGAGCCTTCATTTACCTCTTGACTATCGATAAAAACCTTACGTCAGTGCAGCAGAAGATATATACATAGAAGAGGGAAGCACCAGCTGACTTGAAACAGTACCTGGCTAAAATTAAAATGCAGCATAACCGCACGGAGGTCTACCAACTTCAAGCATAGTGTTACATCCAGTAACTTCGTGACCAAGACAAATTCTTTCTTTCATGGTGCCAGGCCTCACAGTGAAGCAGGGGAGAGGACAAGGTCATTCTCAAGGAATAGTTGGCGAGGTATGACACAAGCCATAAAGTTAACCTCCCTCTCAGTCTATGGAACTTGGAGAGAATCAGAAAAGAGGAAATACTTTTAAAAACGCAGTTATCAAGGGTGGAAAAAGGCCAGAAGTGAGATACAGAATTAAGAGACAGGCTTACAGAATGTGGTAGGAATAGGCAAAGTTAAGGGAAAGGGCTCTTTCTGGAGGTATTGACAATTATTCACTATCATTTCTGTACAACTATGACAGAAATGCTGCTTCCAGAAAACCTAGAAAGCATGAAATCAGAGGCTTAAGAAGCCCAAGTTCACCCTTTCTTCACTGTGTTCTGCCAGGTTTTTGCGCTTGACTTGCCTTCGGGCAGAATTCCTATCACCAGCTCTAGCGTGCACTGATGGTAAACGCGATTCCAGGTCGGGGGGCAGGCATGGCTCCTTGTTCATGGCACTGCCACCAGACAGTGCTGAGGTAGGTTTGAGAGGTATTCCGCAGCTGCCTTCCACGGAAGATGTAGGACTGGCACCGCTGACAGAAGAGTAGCCTGAGCTCCCTTCACAGCTGGGATTTCTTGAGGCAACACAGGCTGAAAAAACTCTGCGAGTTTCATCTGGAGTCCTGGCCTTCCTCGGCGGTGCTGCGTGCCCAGGATCCTCGACAGAGAGGCTGTCCTCATCACTGGAGTCCTGACAGCAGTGCTCTGCTGGATCCATGTACACCACTGTCACATCCAGGATTCCACTGGGACTGGTGACTGAGGGATGAGAGAAGGAAAAGGCCAGTCAGAATTTGGGCAACACCAAGCTAACAGTCGAGCAGAGAAAAAAAAGTGCAAGTGTAAACCTTGTCGAGAGGGGAGGGTAAGGGTAGAGCTTACCCTCATTAAAGTAATTTAATATTTCCCTCTCGCCCTGTTTGGAGAGGTACTGCCCAACTTGGAAAATGAAAGGCCAGAGCCTGTGTGTCAATAAAACAAACAGCTGACAGCGTTCCAACACTGACTACAGTGTGACCCATTCAAGGCTGCTTATACTGTAGCAGCATCTGAAAACACCCTCTTGGAAATGCTGAGTGGCTGCAAAATCCTTAAGTTCTGAAGCAGTGATGAGAAGAAATGTACCCCTAAAAGTTTAACAACTATAACCACTGGGGGGAGAAGGAGAGTTTCCCCAGCTGCTCTTAGGAAAGTTTAGGCTCTTCTGGTGCTCCCAGAAGGAGTTTTATGTAAAAATAAAAAGGCAGGTTTTCAGGTTCTCTTATGTGTTTTTGTTTGTTTGTTTGTTTTAAATAAGACTAAAAGCCTTACCATCTCCATCTCTCTCGCCTTCGCTTTCCTGATCACCTTCATAACCAGAGCAGGAATCTAAACTCCAGTCCAGGAAGCTGTCCAGAAGACTTTCTTCCTGGGTGGACAGCTCAGCTGTAGGTGTAGTCACCAGGCTGCCCCTGTCATCCTGAGCGCTGTCTTCCCTCCTCCTGTAGCAAGAACATCCAGAAGTCACACATTAAAAGCCAACTCTGCTTCTCCAGCTCTTCTAATAGAGATGTCAGGCCAAGGTAACGGCAGAAGGAATGGAAGCTCAGGATGCCAGAGAGGAGGAAAGGCTCACGCAAGTCTTCACAGACCTTTACAGCCATGGGTTATACTCACCTTTTAGATCTCTTTCCAGAGGGAGAGCTAAAGAAAGCTTTAATTTCTATGACATTTGTGTGCAGGGGACTGGGTTTCAGGTCCTCCTGCTTCACACCCAGCAGTGAACAGAGCTGGCTGTAGCTCATCACCTGAAAAACAAAGGGTTAAGAATAAGACCATGTGATTCCCTCTGCCAGGAAGCAGCTATTTTATCCTTATTTATCTTTATTTCTTTCCAGGAGAAAGCTATCCTGTTGAGTCCTTCCTAGAACTGCTGTTCAACCACAGCAGTTACAGTCCCAGCAGACAAAATTTAGAAGCCCCAACCTTACCCAGCCATTCTCTACTTCCAAAACCTGAAATTAAAATTCACTTCCACTTACTGGAAGTTTTGAACACCCTGCCACATAGTAGCTTTTGCTCTAGGTGTCAGATTTCAGCAAACAAAAGAACAAACCCACCTTTTCTTTGCCTACTTCATCGTATCGCTCATCTTCAAATCTCTGTCTCACTGCGGTTAAAGACACCTGCCTGTAATCCTTAGGGACCTCATCATGGAAACTGGAAAGAAAGACCAGGGCTTTAATCTTAGAATGGATTATATAGAACATTGTTAGCAAATTCTGGCCATGTAAGCACCTTCCCTCTGTCCACCTCAGCTCTGTGCCGAGGAAACTGGCATTTCAGCAGAGCTGCTAAGCATGCAAGCATACAATTCCTTTTCTGTTTCTTGAGATATTTGACTTCCAGCCTTTCAGAAATGAATTACTTTTGCTACTGAGCTCCTTCTGGAGCTCATCAAAAACTGGTCACAATCACCTGAAAACAGTGATGCTGGCAAGCTGAAACCTGCTGGGCTTGGGGAGCACCAGGGCTTCTGTAACCCAGGGCCACTGCCAGGCAAGACAAACGCAACAGCCGTCACTGAAGCAGCCCCTAGATTTCAGTGCCCTGGGGTAGGGGAGTAAAGCAGTTTGCTACAGCCACCTCCTCCCTTGTGAAGGACTTCCAGCAGGGCTACGAGAGCCAGAATACAAAAACACTCCCAGAAGAGTTCCCCAAGTTTTACCATTTTTGGTGAAGGCGCAGCACACACGGCAACAGGTCTTCAAGAGAGAACCCAGTGCACTCAGACAGCTGGCTGGTCCAGGGATGTGCTGGAGGAGGGAACAGGCATTACCATTTCACAGAGCTCGCAAGTTCTATAGTCAGACAGAGCTGTTAATGGGGTAAAGATCATGCCTGTGTGGTGACAATCTTTAGGAGCTTTTGCCTGCACACAGCTGAAGTTCAGAATTTGCTTCTAGGATAGGCTTACTTGAGAAATGGAAGCTGCGCCTAAGTAGAATTCTACTGCATAGATAAGGGCAAAACCCTTCAGTCTCATTTAAATGCAGGGCTCACGTTATTGCTACAGACCGAACTCAACTCCATTCCCACATATTACACCTTTCCCCCCTCCCACACTCCCCAGGGTGGTTGGGGCACCTTGCCCACAGAGGCTCCCTGAAGGGACGAGGCAGCCTGATGCACTTTGCTGCAGCTCCACTGAACGGGCTGCTCCTTACCGTGGCCATGCAGGATCTTAGCCAGCAGCAGTGCTGCAGCAGCCAGCCGAGCTGGGGAGTACCCGAAAAGGCTCGTGTTTAGGAGAGACAGCTCACAAATGAAGCTGTAAAGGTGAAGAGTTCTTCTCTCCAGTGAGACTATGTTTGACAGCACTTCTTTGTAGTCCACAATAGTAGGTATCTAATGCACAAAGGAGAACAGAGGTTGGCAACACAACTCAAGCACCAAGTATTTAGACCACAGTTGTTCTCACAAGACACTGCTTTCATTACCAAGTATTATTTTAAATTCTATGCTAACACTGAAATACTCCCCAGTGAAACAATAAATGATCTCTGAACGTGCCTTAAGAAACTCAAGTTTTAATCTCTACAGGAAAGCAGATGGTTTGGTATCTGCATGCTCTTAAATGTGCAGTCTCCACAGGGAACACTTACAATACAACTTTTTGTTCTTTTTATTCAAAAGATCCACTTCAACTGCAGCCCCAGGGATAAAATTGCCCATCCGCTTCCCAAACTCACCCTTATCTTTCCTTCCAGGGCAGAGATGATCTCACCCATCATCCTCACCAGGTCTTCATATTTGTATGTGTTGTCCGTTAGCCACACAGCCTCCCGTATTGTCAAGATCTCTTTGCTGATGAAACTGCAATATCAAGTATAATTAACAGTTAGCCCAAGAATAAAGACTGTTTGTGTACCTATGCACCATTTTTTGTGGCCAGTAAATAATAGATAAGATAACCAAGGGGCTAAACTCTGCAGGGTTTTTGAACCTCACAAAGATTTTTGAGGTTAAACTTTTTAAGTCAGGTACAAGCTGTGAAAGAAGGAACAGCAGCTCCTCGTTTGTTTTTACCTTTATGCTAGAACTGCCAACTAAAACATCCCTAATTCTTCAC